GACCTCCAGGGGGATGAAGTGGAAGCCCCGAGTACCTGGGTGGCTGCTGCCAGTGGACACGCTGCGGTGGTCCAGAGCAGGGCGGGGGGGGGGGGTTGCTCCCAGATGTGTTTAGAGGACTCACTGAGGGAGTAGAGGTGGAACTGGGTGACAGGAAAGGGGAGTCAAGTGCAAACATCCCAGCTTTGGCCAAGCTCCTGGAAGAGTAGATGCTGCTTTACTAAGCTAGGAAGGACGGAGGGAGGAGGAGCTTGGTGAGTAGGGGCATCAGGAGTCCTGGGTGGGGTGTGTGCAATTTAAACCCATGAAAGGGCTGGGGAGATAGCTCAGTGATCTAAATGCTTGCCTGGCAAGTGCAAGGACCTGAGTTCGATTCCTGGTACCTCATGCCAAGCCGGCTACTGAAACTAGACATGATGGCACACGCCTATAATCCCAGCACTGGGGAGGTTGAGAGAGGAGGATCACTATGAGTCCAAGCTGTGTAACTAGACCTTGTGTCAAATAAATAGGTAAACAAAGGATTAAAAAAAATAAACCCATGCCAGACCCCATGGAGGAAGACGGATTGGAGAGGGAGGGGTCTGAGCTACAGGGAGATGATGGGAAGCCAGTTACTAGTACACCCAGAGCCCTGAAAATCAAGGCAGTGATGGGATCCCCAAAAGGCCCAGGATAGCCAGAGGACAGTCCCTGTGGGCTCCCTGCTGTGGCTGCAAGAGAGACTATCACTGAGATACAGCCAACAGGGAGGACCCAGGAAACTGGGTGAAGTCTGTCATCCCAGCACACGGGAGGCTGAGGCAGGAGGATCCCAGTGAGCTCAAGGTCAGCCTGGGCTGCAAAATGAGTTTGAAGCCAGCCTGGACTACATAATGAGACTGTCTCAAAAAAAAAAAAAAAAAAAAAATCCGATCAATGAGGCTGCAGGAAAACCAGGCCAAGGTGCAGGAGATGCCACGACACAGGAACCTTCTAGAGGGTGACCTGGTTTTCTCTGAGCCCTAAGGGTGTGCTGGCATCCTTTGGGTGGGTGCCTCGAGAGCTGACTGCTGGCCTTTTTTATAGATTCATCAATAAGCTCCAGCCAGGCTCGGTGAAGAAGGTGAACGAGTCGACCCAAAATTGGCACCAGGTAAGTAAGGTCAGGCAAGCCTCGGCCACTCGCTCCTCAGCCCCCTGCTCTCCCGACCCTGACACCCCCTGCTCCCCACAGCTAGAGAACATTGGCAATTTCATCAAGGCCATTACCAAGTACGGGGTGAAGCCCCACGACATCTTCGAGGCCAACGACCTATTTGAGAACACCAACCACACCCAGGTGCAGTCCACACTCCTGGCCCTGGCCAGCATGGTGAGCAGGGGACCCAGGTGGGCACTGGGCGGGGGGCTCTGGGACAGCAGCACTGCGGAGTCTCTAGTGGGACAAACAGGTACTTTATGCTCTCTCCTCCACACCCAGGCCAAGACGAAAGGCAACAAGGTGAATGTGGGGGTGAAGTATGCCGAGAAGCAGGAGCGGAAATTTGAGCCAGAGAAGCTGAGAGAAGGGCGGAACATCATCGGGCTACAGGTTCTACCCATCCCTACAGGGGCATCGTGGGAGGGCAGCTTAGGCTCTGCAGGATGTGTGGACAGAGTATTTGGCCGTAACTATAGGCTAAGCATTCTTGTTCTTGCTCTGTCTGTCTGTCTGTCTGTCTGTCTGTCTGTCTGTCTTTTTGAGACAGGGACTTGCTATTGCTATACAGTTCAAGCTGGCCTTGAGCTCACTGTGTAGCCCAACTGGTTTTAAACTCACAGTGATCCTCTTGCCTCAGCCTCCCAAGTGCTGGGATTACAGGTGTGTGCCATCATACCTGGCTTTCTTCATTTTTCCACTGACCAAGTCTCTTCCTCTGCCAGTCACCCTGGGGGTAGGCACTGTCTTTTCCAAAGAGGGAACGGAGGCCTGGAGCAGCTAGCTCACTCCCAGATAGCCCCCTTGAGGAGATGTTAGCCGTCAGTTAGTCTCCTCTGAGCCTCGCTTTCCAGCTTGTCCCCTGAGGATGGCAGTAGTGCCTGGTGCTTTGATACCCACTGTGTCTTGCGGTCCCTGGGGAAGATCTGGTCCTTGGGGTGATTCTCCCTCTGCCTTCCTAGATGGGCACCAATAAGTTTGCCAGCCAGCAGGGCATGACAGCTTACGGCACCCGGCGCCACCTCTATGACCCCAAGCTAGGCACAGACCAGCCACTGGACCAGGCCACCATCAGCCTGCAGATGGGCACCAACAAGGGGGCCAGCCAGGTGAGCTGGGCTGCGGGGTGCCCGCCCCGCCTGGGCCCTCCCTGTCCCCACAGCCTGACCTCACTGCCCTTCCCCTCAGGCTGGCATGACGGCGCCTGGGACCAAGCGGCAGATCTTTGAGCCCGGCCTGGGCATGGAGCACTGTGACACGCTGAACATCAGCCTGCAGATGGGCAGCAACAAGGGTGCCTCGCAGCGGGGCATGACGGTGTACGGGCTGCCGCGCCAGGTCTATGACCCCAAGTACTGCCTGACGCCTGAGTACCCCGAACTGGGCGAGCCGGTGCACAACCACCACCCGCACAACTACTACAACTCTGCCTAGGCCCCGGGGCCGCTGCCGCTGCTGCTGCTGCTGCTCTAGGCCGGACCCCTGCCCCTGCATGGCATCCCCAGCCCCTGGCACCTGCCTACTGGGTTACAGTTTGGGGAGAGCAGTCAGTAGGGGGCCCGTGTGTGCAGGGAAGCGGGCCCTCCACTCTGTAGCGCTGCAGGGTCCCACACAGAGCCGGGGTGTCCTCAACAGCACCCAATGGGCGCACTGAGCAAAGCTATCCAGCTGCCCCACTCCCTCACAAGTGGGTACCCCAGGACTAGAAGCCCCCCTTTTCCAAGCAAAGCCCCCAGAGCCCAGGCTCAGCCCAGCCTCGGCCCTCTCCCTCAGTGGGAGTGAACTGCATGCCCGAGACGCAGTGGACACACGCGGTTTGGTTTGCGGCGACTGGCAACCGGCGTAGGTGGTGTGACAGCGGTGTTTGTAACGTGAGCACTTTTTCTATTTCACTGGAGCACAATAAATGGCTGTAAAATCACTGGAGCCCTCAGGGATGCTCTCATATGCTGGGTACCAGCACCAGGAGGCTTCACACCGGCAGACAGTCCTGCCTGGATATGCCCCACCAGAGGTCCCTAAACTTAGGCAGGGGCCACACAGCAGGAGAGGACAGAGGCTTCAGCTGTGTTTCTAGCTCCTCTCATATCGCTGCCCGAGCTCTACCGCTGTCAGATCAGTGGGCATTCGGTTCTTGCTCACACGAGCATAGACCTTCCTGTGAGCTGTGTGAAAGAAATCCTCTTGGAGTCACCCCAAACCTTCATCCTCTAATCCCCAAGCATAGAAAAATGCAAGGTCCACACACCTTCCCCAGAGCGCTGTGGTTTGTGGTGAGGAAGATCAATTGCTGCGACTGGCTAGATGAGGGTCAGATCTTCACTCTCCTGGCTCAGTGACCTTGGGCAGGCCCTGGGCCCTCCCAGGCCTGGTGCTGCCTGGGGCCGTTGTAGGCAGGGCCAAGCCTTCAGCCTGGGACAAAAGGGACTGGGGCAGCCAGGAGGCTTGGCCTTCAGGCCAGGCTATGGTCAGTCAGGAAGCAGCAGGGGGTGCACCTTGGGGCCTGGCTGCCTCTGTGAGCCCAGCTTTAGCCTTCTCCTGGCCCAGAACCCTAGTCTGGCCGGGAGTGCCCACCTCCTTATGCTTCAGAGTAGATCTTGTTTTCCCAGTGAAGGGAGGGCTCCAGCCACCCAGGGAGGGAATGCAGAGATGGAAGGGACTGAGCTGTCTTTGGCTGGTCCCACTCACCCCAGGACAGGGGTTGAGGTTGGAATGCAGGGACCCACAGAGACAGACACCAGAAGCCCCGCTCACAGATGCACACAGCCACTGGGGCCTCGTAAAGCAGATTCCAGGCTCGCTCCGTGGTTCAAGGAAGCTATGCTGGGAGGACTCATGCTGGCCTGGGGCCCGGCCTCCTTGTGAAAACAGCACCATATTAGCACTCAGCCTGTCAAAAGGGGGTGGAGGAACAGGCGCGCTTCCTGGCCAGACCCTGCAGGGCACCCCAAGCAAGGTGCCTGCCTGTTTGGTGGCAGGATCCTCAGTGAGGAGAAGTCAGGACTACCAGGGAGGGTTGGTCACCATGGTCCTGACCTAGCAGTTCTGCAGGACACGTGCCAGACCCAGGAGTGCAGTCCAGTGGCCAAGACTTCCTGGGCCACTCCACAGCTTCCTTAGCCATTTGTACATGTCACTGTCTAGGCAGGCCCCAGAGTCACCTGCTCCTCCGTCCTCAGCACTGGCTTGGAAGGCTCTTGCCAGGCAGAGGCCCTGGACCTGCCCAGGTGGTTAGGGTCAGGGCTGTCACCCTTGCCATGTGAATCCTGCCAGCACTTCCCACCGTGGTCAAAGCTCCCTTCTGTATACTGAGGCTTCTCTTGTATTTTGTTTTACCACCTCCAGGATGGCCAGCAAGCTGTCTGTCCCCCTCCCTTCAGTCTAGACCCTGGATGTTTAGGGAAGCAGATCACAGGCTACACAACCCAGTTTCCTGCATTCCTCTCTGCTACTCCCTCTTCTGTGTTTGGGGTATCCCTAGCAACTACCCCCCCAACAAGCCCTGACAGCTGGGTGTGTCTCGGGGTGTCCCACTAGGAGACAAACCCCTCACCACCCTCTTCCAGGGCCATCTCCTCTCCTTGGTTTTCACTGCTTGCTGTAAACACCAGGTCATGCTTCACCCTGAAATCACCCAAGAAGTCATCATGGCCAGCAATTTGCAATGGTTGCTTTATTGAGGGTCTCATAACTGACAGTTTCCCCAAACCAGCCCTGCCTCCTCTACAAAATCAACAGATGAAATGGGCTTCCCGTTAGTGCAGGGGGGCTGGCTCGCTCTGCCAAGGGAGCCGGGACATGAGGGCTTCAACCTCAAGGCAAAGGGGCAGACTGCTGTCGAGGCTGGAGAAGTCCTGCATCCACCTCCCGTCCAGGAAAGTTTCTCTAAGGGAAACTGAGGCCCTAGGCCAGGGGAGGCTGGGGCGGAAGAGGGAGCATCCAATAGATTTCTGGAGCCAAGCAAGACCGACGAGGGGCCTCAAAATTGGCGACCCAACTGCTCCCCAAGCCTAGAGGCACACTCATTCACACCCACCACAGACACACGGGGCCAAGATAGCCCTGGACCCACCCCGCTACCCCTGGACCCCTGGAATGTCCGTGTTGGTGCTTAGTGGGTGGGTCCGTGGCAGGCGGCGCTGCACAGGGGGTGGGTCCTTAGAGTCGTTACTGATTGGCTGCCTCGCAGGCGTCTATCCAATCGCTGTACACGTCCACGGGTTCTGACAGGTAAGTGATGGGCGTCTGGAATTCCTCTAGGCACACAGTACAGGAAATGACTCCAGTGTTTCGGGCACGGTCCCTGAAACAAGATGAGGTAGACAGTGACTCTTCAGCCTGTAGGTGGTCACCTCCCAAGCTGAGAGGGCCTGGGCAGACCAGAGGATGGCAGGGAAGGGGGATCAGGTGAGGCCCGGTGCCCGTGAGGTAGGTCACCCCATCCCACTCACATTTTTACATCGCAGGACTTCTCATGGTTACAGAAGGGGCAGGTAAACTGGGTCTCTAGGGTGCCTGTCATCTTCTTCTTGGGGGGCGGTTTCCTTTTCGACTTTCTGCGTCCCATGGCTTTGAGTAGATGAATCTGGGGACACAGGAGAGGGCAGAAGTGAGAGGTTTTGCTATGTATTCCAGGCTGAACTTGAACTCACTATGTAGCCAAGGCTGGCTTCAAACTCAGTGATCCTTCTGCTTCAGCCTCCTGAGTAGCTGGGATGACAGGTGTGTGCCACCATGCCAGGCTCCCAGGTCTGATAAGCCAATCCCCACAGGCTATGGGATAGAAGGGGTGAGAACAAGCTCTAAATCACTTAAGCTCTCTCTGTGAGGTTCCCTTGTCTATAAATAAGAGCTGAGCCAGGCATGTCTGTCATGCCAGCACGGGGGAGGCTGAGGCAGGAGGGTCACTGAATTCAAGGCTAGACTACATATTGAGACCCCCGTCTCAGGAAAAACAAAATGAGAAAGAATTTCAAATATTGGTAAATGCATTGAGGTTACCAGAAAGGGCCTTTCTTAGGCGAGTGGTATTTAAGCCGAGGCTGAGCATCTGCAGGCAACCAGGATGATATGGCAGAGGGACCGGCAAGTGCCAGGTCCTGGGGCACACCATTATTAAAAGCAAGGATGCAGCTCAAGGCATAGAAGGAAGAAGGCCGCGAGACGCAAACAGGAGAGCACCAGCCCAAGGCCCTGAAGGCTGAGGACCTAGGGAGGCGTCACCTGCTCTGCAGCCTACATTGTCGCCTGGCAGAGATCAAGCATGTAGCAACCACTTGTTGAATAAGCGATTTCCAGGTTCGAGTTACAGGCGCACCCTGGAACCTCACGGGGAACCTAATGATTTCAAGGCCCCTTCGCTATCCTAGGATCGGGATCTGGCTCGTGCCAAGGTCCAAGCACTTCGGGGTGGTAGTGGAAGAGAGGTGATTCCCCTGTTCAACCTACCAGGACCCCAGAAGTGAGAAATGGGCTGTGGCTGCCGGATAATAAAGGCTTCGGCGTCGCCTCCAGATCGCCACCCGCAGGAACCAGGCCCAGAGCGTCCCCATCTGGCACCTGGGGTGTGGGGGATTCATCTCATTTGGGTGGGACCCAAACCAGGGGCTCCTGATGCCTGCCTCAGGGTCCTGGTGTGATCCCAAGCAGAAGGGCGCCCAGTCCCACCCAGCCCCAAGGCCCTACCGTGCAGACCCTCACCTGCACTCGCTTTCCCTCGCAGCAAAGGCGGGTTCACCCGGGAGACAGTGACTTCCGGCTCCTGGCGGAAGTGGAGCTCGCGAGTCCCTTCAAGTCCCGCCCAGCCGTAGCTAAGACAACCGGGCGAGCAGGCCCCGCCTCCCTCCACGCCTGCTCCCGGTGCATGCGTATGCAAATTAGGAGCGGCGCACTGGAGGCGCAGCGCGCTTGCGTGGCGACCAGAGCCCCTGTATTTTTCTAAAACGCCTGACTGACTACTACATCTAGTTTTATTCTCAGGAGTGGCTGTTGTAGCCTGGCGTTGGACCTCACAGTGTCTCTGTCCTTGTTTCTCTCCAAGTAAGAAGTGTAATCCCCCGCCCCTGCAACCGGGGATTGAACTGAGACCTCGTGCTTGCCAGGAAAGCGCTTGTTCTACTGAGCCATCTCCCCGGCCCCAGAAGTGTACTTTTTAATTAAAAATTTAAAATTGTGATTAACATTTTTTTTTTTTTTTCGGAACCGGGATTGAACTCAGGCCCATGCGCTTGCCAGGGAAGCGCTTATTGTACTGAGCCATCTCCCCGGCCCCAATTAACATGTATTAAGTGCACAAATAGGGTTCACTATGACATTTGCGCACTCGCATATAGCATGCATCGATCCTGTTCACAGTAAGAATTAAAAGACCATTGGAGGGGGCCGGGGAGATGGCTCAGTAGAATAAGTACTTGCCTGGCAGGGCCTGAGTTCAATCCCCGGTCCCACCAAAAAAAAAAGGTTCTTGGACCATAATGAGATTCTATATATTATTTTTTGTCATATGTTTATTTTAATATTTTTAATTAAGTTGATTGGTACATTTTAGATAGCATAATGTTCATATTCATCCTTTAGGATTTGTACTTTTATATGATACATAATGATATATGTTTTTGAGAGTCTTCTCATGTAGCCCAGGCTGGCCTCAAACTCACAGCAATCCTCCTGCCTCAGCCTCCCCAGTGCTGGGATCACAGGTGTTTAAAACACTGTTCTTTCAAACATCCCAGCCTAGAGTAGTAGGAGCTCATACCCAAGGGCTGAATGGGGGGGAGGGGTATGTAAAAATGCTCAGCTCAAACCCTGTAAGACCTTGGCTTTTTTTTTTTTTTTTCGGGAACCGGGGATTGAACTCAGGCCCTTGTGCTTGCCAGGGAAGCACTTATTCCACTGAGCCATCTCCCCGGCCCCATGACCTTGGCATTTTGCCAGCTGCAGCAGAAGCAGGATGAGAACAGGGGGCCTGGAGGGGTATGAAGGAGGGGGACAGAACTGCACACACCTGAAAGCATGTGCTGGAACCCACTCGTATCTGGCAGTGCTTACTAGTGAACAGATTCATGCAAGATAGACGAGAATAGGTAAGAACTTACCAAATCGGAGCCCAGTGGCCGCCCAGAATCAGGGGTGGAGTGTACAGTGTCCCTCTGCACACCGGGGACCTGAAGCTGCCAGGGGAGGGCCTGGAGTTGGTGTCAGGAGATTGGAGGGTCTACAGTGGAAGCCACAAGACAATGTGCTCCAGGGTGCGATGGAAGATGGGAGCTCCTCCAAGGAAATCCGAAGCAAATCTTCCTTTTTTGTTTCTCTTTTATACCATCCTTGTGCCAACCCTCCCTAGGGTGGGTCTTGCATACCCACAACTATGCTGAGCCAATGTAGCCAATCATGCCCGGCTTTGTTTGTTTTTAGATCCTAAATGGGCAGGGCTAGGCCCCAGTCTGAAGCTTGGCCTGTTGGTGCACGCTTGTAATCCCAGCACTCAGGAGGCTGAGGCAAGAGGATTGCTGTGAGTTCAAGACCAGCCTGGGCTACACCGTGAGCTCAAGGCCAGCCTGAGCTGCATAGCGAGACCCTGCCTCAAAAAGACAAAAACGAGGGGCCAGGGAGATGGCTCAGTGGAATAAGCACTTCCCTGGCAAGCGCAAGGGACTGAGTTCAATTCCCGGTTCCACAAAAAAAAAAAAAAAAAAAAAAAGGAAACTTTTGGGCCGGGGAGATGGCTCAGTGGAATAAGTGCTTCCCTGGCAAGCGCAAGAGCAAGCGCAAGGGCCTGAGTTCAATCCCCGGTTCCGCAAAAAAAAAAAAGAAAAAAAAAGACAAAAACAAAAAGACAAAAAACAAACCAAAACACTTAATGCAGTCTGGAATAAGGATCAGTGTAACATTTGAGGACCCAGGTACGGTGGTGCGTGCCTACCGTCATCCCAGCTGCCTGGGCTGCTGAGGCAGGAAGAACCCCGTGAGCTCAAGGCCACCCTGGGCTAAGTACATGTCAAGACCCTCTCTCAAAACAAAAACAGGGGCCAGGGAGATAGCTCAGTGGCGTAAGTGTCTGTCTGGCAAACATAGGTCTTGAGTTCTATCCTGGGCACCACAAAACAAACAACAAAAAACAAATGTGTGACTCAAAACAAAAATAAAAGAAGAAAGCAAACAAGCTCTGTAAGGATAGCAGGAAAAAATGGAAACACAACTTTTGTAAGTAAGGAGGTGAAGAAAGGTTGAAGGGAGGGGAGGGGAAATGGGAAAAAATTAAGAAGCAAGAAACCTCATGGAAGGGCCGGCCAAATAGCTCAGCAGATTAAAGTGCCTGCAAGCAGGCTCAGGGGTCGGGGGTTCAGTCTTTGGGGTATGCTGAGATAGCTGAGACTGGGCGTGGTGGCCTGTGCCTGTAATCCCAGCTCTTGGGCTGAAAACAGGAGGAGGATCACTACAAGTCCAATCTAGTAGTGAGACCCTGAACACCCTGTAGACCCTTCCTTAAAATACAAAAAACAAAACAAAACAAAAAAAAAACACTTCATGAACAGGTCCAAGTTCCCTACAGTGAATGCTATCACATCTTTATGAAATGTACCAATAAAATGTAAAAAAAAAGAGATCTGCATGGTATGGGACATCCTTTGGCACATGGTGGTTACTTGAAGCTTTGAGGTCCAAGGATTCGGATGACACAGGACACAGACCCCAGGAGGGGCCCACTATGGCAATTCTTATAGACACAGGGTACACTTTATTTATTTATTTTTTGGTGGAACCAGGGATTGAACTTGGGCCCTTGTGCTTGCCAGGGAAGTGCTTATTCTACTGAGCCATCTCCCCCGCCGGGAGTGCACTTTGTTTTTGCCCTCTTGTTTTGTTTGTTGGTTTGGCCCAAGTCCTCTCTGCAGAGCCAGTTCTTCCTTTACCCTTTTACTAGTCATTTTTCAGCTCAGTGTTTGGCACCATTGGTGGCCTGTTTCGTCCAATTCATGATGAAAGCAAGAGGTTTAACTGGCAAGTCGCTGCTAAAGAAAGCATTCAGCACTTGATACCAAGTTCGGGGTGTCACAAGGGGCTGAGAGTCTGAGGGCAATGAGGAACGGGCCTCTCACTGGGCAAGCACTTGTTTTCTGGGGACCCTGATAAGAGCTGTTGCATTAGAATGTTCTCGAAAACAAGTTTAAAAACGTACAAACTACGTGAATAACGTTACAAACGATGAGCCTCAGTGTCATTCTGGTTTGTGTCTAGATGTCTCCCAAGGCCCCATGCGGTCCCCGGCGGGGGGCCTTGCAGAGGTGGCTGGGTCTGCAGTGAGTGAGGCTTGGATTAAGGGTGTGTGGCTACTGAATGAGTCACTCAGGGGCGTGGCACAGTTCTGGGAGAGGATAATGGGAGGACTCACCCTGGGTGTGGATGCCACAGCCCTGGAGCCTTGTGGCCCAGGGAGGACCCAGGAACGGGGAGGGCCCCTGGCTCGCTTGCTCTTCCCTGTGTCAGTGCACTGTGCTCTTCGCGCCCCCCGAGGCCGCACCACCCTGCCCTGCGCCAGCGGATGACAGACCGAAACCTCTACGAATGGTAAGCTGAAATAAACCTTTCCCCAACTGACTTTGGATGTTAGCTATTTTGTCCCAGCAACAACAATAAAAATAAGACAAACGTAGTGTTTTTATACAATAGCATCTTGTTTATTTATGTATTTTGGCGGAACCAGGATTGAACTCAGGCCCTTGTGCTTGTCAGGGAAGCACTTTTCTACGGAGCCATGTCCCCAGCCCCAATCTTGTTTATTTTTAAGAAAGGGTCTCTCTGTGTAGCCCAGGGTGGCCTTGAACTCACAGTGACCCTCCTTCTTCCCCAGCCTCACCTGTACGCCACCACACCCAGCTGTAACTTTTTTTTGGTTTTATTTTTTAATTTTTAATATATTTGGTTGTTACAGGGTCTTACTGAGCAGCTCAGGCTCATAGTGATCCTCCTGTTTTCAGCCTCCCCAGTGCTGGGATTACAGGCATGTGCCACTACGCTTGCCTGGACTCTGGCCTGCTCAGCCCACCCTGGGGGCGGGACTGGCGTGCCACGTGGTGCCGGGGATCAGAGCACAGTCCCTGTGCTTGTCTAAGCAGGCGCTTAGTCCGTTGAGCTATCTG